CCAGAAACTTGGATACTTTCCAGAAGCCTCAGATACACTGGATATTATTGAGTTTGACTGTCTAAACTCAATGCTACCCCTTATATCACTACGCTATCCTCTGCTTTTATTTCCTATCTCTGGAAATCCACCTAGCTACTTCCCACAGTAGAATCCTCTCCTCTATTTATACCTTACCAAAGATCCCTGTGGGACAAACTTGGATTTGTGTCAGAACTGTGACCTTTGGAGTTGTCAGAGTACAGAGAATGGAGGTGCACTGTGGGAGCAGAATGGAGTATGAGGTTAGGAGTCAGCTTAGCTTGTGCACTAAGCCCTTCTGCAGACCTTAGTCCCTAACTCAACTGAATGAGGGGAGAGTGGAGGCATCGAAAGTAGAGTGGAGTAAAAGTCCTTCAGAGGAGGACCAGAAGACTTAGATAGGGACTTGGGTGAAAAGGTGTGGGGAACTTATTGGTATTTGAACTGCAGGAACGGAGTACAGGAGTTACAGCTTATATACTAATTGGAGGGAGTGGAGTTTGTAAGGAGTAACTCATAATATAGGTACAGAGTTCCATGTGGACAATTATTCAGCAGGAAGAGATTGTATGTGAGAGGAGTATACCATAAGGTCTAACTACAGAGTCCATAAGGAAACATAAGAATATGCAGAGGAAATGTATGGTGGACTAAAAGTCTGGGGCAGGAGAATTGGGGCAGGTATCCAGAGTACCATATAGGAGCAAGGTACAGGACCATGCAGAGCGGCAGAGCATAAAGAGCATAATTCTGGGAAGACTGAAGATTCAGGAGTTTGGACTAGGAGGTTTCTGACTGTTCAGAGGTTTGGGTGTCCTGGCCTGTCACACAGATATGACAATTTGTCTTATTTGGATGTATATCCATTTTGGACAAAACCCATCAAACATATCTTCACCATCTCCCAAACTGCTTAAGTTATTGTAGATGAACAGAATGCACAACCCCAGCTGAGGCCATACCACAATTCCATCCTGACAGTTTATGGCTGAGCGAGAGAGTTGATGGATGGGCATCTAGATTATATCAGGATCTGGTTTGGTGTGCAGCTAGAGATCTTTTGAAAGCTTTTAGACTTATTGCATGCTTATGGGTACACAGACTTTGATTAAGGAGCAACTGTCAAAATTCCTCTCTTTATGTGTCACCAGGTTATCTATTCACCACATTGCTGGACATTTTTAATGTTCAAATGACATAATTACCAAGTACTTCAAGCAAATGCTTCACATACTATAGTTATAAATTTCTGTCTTAGACAAAGCATTATTATCTGATAATGTTACTATATAGATGGAGCCAGCAGAATCTGGCAGAGTGGGCCAGCCAGGCCATTTTCAATGTAATAAGATAGGGGTCCAAGCACACCTGTTTAGGACAATTTATCCATGCCACAGGCTAGGAAACCTGAACCTCTGAACAGTCAAAAACCCCCAAATCCAAACTCCTGAATCTTCAGTCTTCCCAGAATCATGCTCCTCATGCGTGCTCTGCTGCTCGGCATAGCCCTGTACCTTGCTTCCATTGAGTATATATATACTACTACAGGTTTGTGTGTACATATATATGTACTACACAGTTGATAGATGTGGTGGCTGATGATGCCATAGGGTGCAGCCTTTGTGACCAGCCCCACCACGTGAGAGAGTTGTAGTTAAAAATAAAAGGAAGCAGTGTAGTGCAAGAAAGTGAATGTCAGGCAACAAATACGAAGCTATATAACAAAACTCAATGCCTGGTCAAGTCCTTGATGAAAGGCGGTGAAGCAGGGTATGAGAGTTGAAGAGTATTGATATGGGCGTGAATCTAAACTAATATTGAACTAAGGAATAATACATCAAGTATGTACTTCCTTATATAGTGGACAACAATGGTCAGACCAAGAAAGGGAAGAGTTAAGAAAGTGGTCTGACCAATTAACTAACCAATAAGAAAAGAAAGAGAAAGTGGTCCGATCTATCATATTTACTAATCGCATGAGAGAAAGTATTGGTAAAAGGTGTATAATTGGCTGTATCAGTAAACCCATGAGAAGGCGCTGACTCATAGCCTTCCTTGCTTATCAATATCCCTCTGAAGTATTCCCAGACATAGCATTGGATCATTGCTATGTCATCTGGATATCTTCTCGAGGGTCTACAACAGTTCTCCTTCGTTGTAAGTACGATAAGACGTGAGTATGAATGGAGAATAAGAAGAAAAGGATAAAAGTAATAGAGTGCCAGCTGTAATCTCTAGTCCAAGAGCGAGAGGAGTGACAGGGAATGAATTGGTGTCGATGATGAGAACTGCTGTTAGAAAACCACACACAAAAACAAACTAACAAACAATCCTCCCAGATTCCACGGAACTTGTTTATGGGCTTTGCCTCCTAGAACAGTGGGTGCTCTGGTTGTTCATGGGGTGGTATGTATGAAGATCCTTCAAAGTAAAACCTAGAGATGTATGGGTGTGGGTTTTGAGGAGGAGGGATAGTTGAATTTATAGAAGATAGGGGCTTTGTGACGAGTATAGATGAGCACTACCTTGCTAATCATAGCACAAGGTAGGTTTGAGAACGACAAAGATGAAGAGGTGACGAGGTTCCCAGTGATAGCAGGCTCCTGACGCACAAACTGTAGTGCTCAGAAGGACTCTAATCGAAAGGGATGACAATGACTTCAAAAGTGGGAAGTGACGATGACAGCAGTTAACAGTGGTAGCAGTGGGAAGTGTTGTGACCATACTGGATCACAAGTAGCAGTAAGAAGTGAACTTAAGGTTGGAGAAGAAGTCTGGAACCGAGTTCTTTGTTTTTTTTACAAGGTAAAATACAGGGGTTTATATAGTGAAAAGAAAGGTAGGCTATGCACAGTATAGCTGCGCAAAAAGAATGAGAAAGAACATGAAGAAAGGAATGTATGCTGATGAATCCTGCATAGTTGATACAGGATAAGATCGTCAAAATAAGGGAAAAAAAGAGATAGAACAATGAATGCTATGTAAGTAATGGTACAGGTTTGTACAGTCATAAAAATAAAGTCCAATAAGAGAAAAAGAGCAAGAAAATCGTGATGTCATAAGAAAATGCAGTAAAAGAGTATAAAGCAAAAAAAACAATATCAGTATCAACACAGTTCCTTTATTGTCAGTCAGGCATTCTAAAAAAATATGTGTCCATAAAATGATTCAAAAATCAAAATAATTGCACTGTAAATGAATGTTCTGCTGAAAAAGAAGAAACTGGAGCCACCGGTCCACCACCTAGTCCAAATCTGACAGTTCCATGGCCTTACCAATGGACTGGTTGTACTGGACCACCTGGTCAAGCGAGGGAGGGAGGGAAGTAGTTCCAATTTGGAACAAGTGAGTCCCAGGCAGCATGTAGTAGCTGTAGCTGTAGCGAAGGCGATGGACGAAAGATAAGTGTACCCAAGTGAATGGGGCAGCGATGAACATGGGCGACGCAAGGGGATGAACCCTTCTCCAGCTCAAAAACTACCCACCCACACTCCAACCAGGCGAGACAGCGACCAATGTTTTGATGGTATATGATGGCAGATTGACGTCATGAAGA